ATTCGGGCTGTGATTCCTAGGCGTGCGGATTTGCCTGCTGAGCGAGGTGTTCTGATTGTTTCAGCTGCTATGCATAAGCAGAAGTCAATGTTTTTCTTTCTTTTGCAAACGGAGTATGGGGATATTTTTAAGGTTACTTTGGATCATGACAATGACAGGGTTAAGGAGTTAAAGATCAAGTACTTTGATACAATTCCAGTCACGTCTTCATTATGTGTTTTGAAGTCAGGTTTCCTATTTGCTGCATCAGAGTTTGGGAACCATGCTTTGTATCAGTTTCAGGCAATAGGAGATGATCCAGACGTTGAAGCTTCATCATCTACACTTATGGAAACGGATGAAGGTTTCCAGCCTGTATTTTTCCAGCCAAGGAAGCTGAAGAATCTTGTTAGGATTGATCAAGTGGAGAGCTTGATGCCAATCATGGATATGAAAGTGATAAATCTTTTTGAGGAAGAGACTCCCCAAATATTTTCACTCTGTGGGAGAGGTCCTCGATCATCTTTGCGGATACTGAGACCAGGTTTGGCTGTTAGTGAAATGGCTGTTTCACAGCTTCCTGGTGTCCCAAGTGCCGTATGGACTGTGAAAAAGAATGTCAATGATGAATTTGATGCTTATATTGTCGTCTCATTTGCAAATGCAACTCTTGTGCTTTCTATTGGTGAGACTGTTGAAGAAGTTAGTGATAGTGGATTTCTAGATACTACTCCATCACTCTCTGTCTCACTGATTGGAGATGACTCCCTTATGCAAGTTCACCCTAGTGGCATTCGGCATATTAGAGAAGATGGGCGCATTAACGAGTGGAGAACTCCTGGGAAGAGAACTATTGTTAAGGTTGGGTCTAATAGACTCCAGGTGGTAATTGCCCTGAGTGGAGGTGAGCTTATATATTTTGAAGTTGACATGACTGGTCAGTTGATGGAGGTTGAGAAGCATGAGATGTCAGGTGATGTAGCTTGTTTGGACATTGCCCCTGTTCCTGAAGGCAGACAGAGGTCTCGCTTCCTTGCTGTTGGATCATATGACAACACCATCCGCATTCTGTCACTCGATCCGGATGACTGTATGCAGATACTGAGTTTGCAAAGTGTGTCTTCCCCTCCAGACTCTCTCCTCTTTCTAGAAGTTCAGGCTTCTGTTGGTGGGGAGGATGGTGCAGACCACCCTGCTAGTCTCTTTTTGAACGCTGGTTTACAAAATGGGGTTTTGTTCAGAACAGTAGTGGATATGGTAACAGGTCAGCTTTCAGATGCTCGTTCAAGGTTCTTAGGGCTTAGGGCTCCTAAGCTCTTTTCTATTATTGTGAGGGGAAGGCGTGCAATGCTCTGCTTGTCCAGTAGACCCTGGCTTGGTTATATTCACCAAGGACATTTCCTTTTAACACCACTATCATATGAAACACTTGAATATGCAGCATCATTTTCATCTGATCAGTGTGCTGAAGGTGTAGTTGCTGTTGCTGGTGATGCCTTGAGGGTTTTTACTATTGAAAGATTGGGGGAAACATTCAATGAAACAGCTATACCTTTGAGGTATACCCCAAGGAAATTTGTGCTTCAACCTAAACGGAAGCTAGCAGTAATCATTGAGAGTGATCAAGGAGCACTTACTGCAGAAGAACGTGAAAATGCTAAAAAGGAGTGCTTTGCTGATGCTGGAATGGGGGTCAATGGCAATTCAGAGAAAATGGAGAATGGAGGTGATGAAGAGGATAGTGAGGATCCACTCTCTGATGAGCAGTATGGTTATCCAAAGGCAGAGTCGGACAAGTGGGTCTCCTGCATCAGAATCCTTGACCCAAGGACAACTCAGACCACTTGTCTGCTTGAACTTCAGGACAATGAAGCTGCATTCAGTATATGCACTGTAAATTTCCATGATAAGGAGCACGGAGCACTTCTTGCTGTTGGTACCACTAAGGGACTTCAATTTTGGCCCAAGCGATCATTTGAAGCTGCATACATACATATTTACAAATTTAAGGAAGATGGAAGGGTACTTGAACTTTTGCACAAGACACAAGTGGAAGAGGTTCCTCTTGCATTGTGCCAGTTCCAAGGAAGACTATTGGCTGGGGTTGGACCTGTCCTTAGGTTGTACGATTTGGGGAAGAAAAGACTCCTAAGGAAGTGTGAGAATAAGCTCTTCCCTAGCACAATCACATCTATTACTACCTACCGTGATCGCATTTATGTTGGTGACATTCAAGAGGTATGTATTGTCTCCAGTAGTTCCATATATAGCTTGGAAGTATTTGGACTTCCTTTCTTGTGAAATAGTCTTTTTGATGTAGTATGGTTTAGTTAAGGGAGAGATTAAGCCTACCCATTTTTCCCTTGGCGCATAATTTTAAGAATCTTGCTTTCCGAATATTTTGTGCTTCTCTTTTTTGTCAATTTTCCTCTAATTGTAATTTCATTCTGGTATGAATTAGCTGTTCTTGCTTTCTGTGTTTATTGTTAATTTTTGCATCTCGTTTGTTGTATTTGCTCTAATTCTAATTTCTTTCTGGTGCATAGAATTAAATGTTGCTTTCTGTGTTGTTTGCTAACATTTTGTGCTCCTCTTTTTGTCAGTCATTCCACTATTGCAAGTATCGCCGCGATGAGAACCAACTTTACATATTTGCTGATGACACAGTTCCAAGATGGCTTACTTCAACATGCCATGTGGACTTTGACACCATGGCAGGGGCAGACAAGTTTGGGAACATCTATTTTGTGCGTCTGCCACAGGATGTGTCAGATGAGATTGAAGAAGATCCAACTGGCGGGAAGATAAAATGGGAACAGGGAAAGCTGAATGGAGCTCCCAACAAGGTCGAAGAGATTGTGCAGTTTCATGTTGGTGATGTGGTTAGCTGCCTGCAAAGGGCATCACTTATTCCGGGAGGTGGGGAGTGCGTCATCTATGGGAGTGTTATGGGGAGTGTAGGTGCAATGCTTCCATTTACCTCTAGGGATGATGTTGACTTCTTCTCTCATTTGGAGATGCATTTGAGGCAGGAGAACCCACCATTGTGTGGCAGAGACCATATGGGCTACAGATCTGCATACTTCCCTGTCAAGGTAAAATAATATTCAACCAGCTTTTGTTTGTATTTGCACAACATTCACTAAAGTATTGGATTTATTCTCGTAGTTTTTTTTTTTTTTTACGAGTACTCGTATTGTTAAAAGATTCGTTGCTGCCTGCCCATTAGAAGGATTCTACTTTTTTAGTTCCCTCTTTTACAATTTTATGGAGCCTTTCTATCAAAGTGAAATGCCACGATGATAAGTAAAAGCTGAGTTGTCTAGTGTTTGGGTGGTGGCCTAGCTTATTTTGATGCTTATCTACTTCAAAAAGTAGAAGCTGGGCGTTTATCTTAATTTGGGCTGTCTACCCCTCACTTTCACCTGTGCCCATGATTTATTACAATCTATGCTCTATTTTCATTCCTTTGAAGCCATTTTTTCTTAGTTGCTATTTGTTGATAGGGATATAATATTATTGCGTGTTAGTATACAGCTAGCATCATCCATAGACATTAGTGTGACACTGAAGCGTTGAAATAATTTTGCAGGATGTGATTGATGGAGACTTGTGCGAACAGTTCCCAACTTTGCCTATGGACATGCAGCGCAAAATTGCGGATGAGCTAGATAGAACTCCAGGGGAGATTTTGAAGAAACTGGAAGAAATAAGGAACAAAATCATATGAGAGATAAATCTTCTTCAACATAGGTAACCTTAACCAACGATTATCTGTTTTTCACGCAGCTAGTTTAAAAGATATAGCATCATCTCCTTGTGTTTTACGGTAGCATTTTTTTAGTGTCAGTTGCTTAGTCCACATAATCCTTCCCCATTTATGCGTGGTCACCATATGACGTTACAAGTCTATACGATTAATGTCCATCAATACATCCTTTAACAACACGGAAGCATTTGGATATTTGTTTGCGCAGATCATGGTTTGCGTTTCTATTAAACTACGTCTAATGGTGACTATAAGATGATGGAGTGTGCTGCATACGAGCCTGAGGCTGATGCATCCGTTTTATCGAAGAATGCAGTTGCAGGAGGAAAGTGAGCACAGATGATGGATACCAAGAACAGTACTGCACTCTGCAGAGTAGAAATTATCACATTATCGCCTTTAACATCATGGCTCCCCTCATTTCTTTCTGTTGTAATTATTTTGTATCAGATCAACTAGGAATCACCTTTGTGTAATTGGCTCTTTTCGAAATTTTCATGCATAATTATTCAGCCCTGCAAAATTTGTAACACTGATGTTCCATTTTCAGCTTCTGCATACTTGAGTAGGCTGCTATACAATTTTCATTTTCAATGTTTGAACGATGCTCTCTTTTCTAGATGTGCTATAAATTACAAAGTATGCACTAATGAGTACTTTTTGTTCTAGAAATTTGTTTGATGGTAACAAGTCATCAAGGTATTGTTATCTGAATGTGTACTTTGAATAAAACTCGGTAAATGATAATAGTGAATCAATTTAAATTGTTCATAGTTGATCGATCAAATTAAGAGAGTTAAATTTATACGAGTTCAGCTCACTTTGTGACCATAGTTGATTGGTTTTGTCTAAATTTAGTTTGTCTTGTGACCTAAATTGCTTGATAGTTTTCACATAAAATTAGTTGATTGGTTTTATCTGAACAGTTTTCACACGAAATTAATTTTTTTTTCTCGTGATTTTATAGTTGTTAGTTAATTGACAGATCTTAAAAGTATAACTTTAGTTAATTGATTTTACCAGTAGTTTGAGGTTATTATATTTTTTTGGATGATGATAAAACTTATTTTAAAGTTTATAATAACTTATTTTGGAAGATTATTTAGTTTTAAACTAGTACGAGGTATAATTTACTAGTGTTATTGCAGGTGTAATTAAAAAAGAAAATACTAAAAAGAGAGGGATTAGGAAAGAGGGTTTTTGAGGAGTTTATGATATAAAGCTTATTTTAATCCGGTTTAAATACCTTCTCCAATTGTTCCTTGGTAGCAATTTCCTGAAACAAGAGTCTCTCGGAGGCTCCATATGAATCATGCTGTGTCTCTAACACCACGACATCAATATCTCTTCAAAACGATCCTTAACTACACTCACCTGAAGAATCTTCGCAAAGGGAAATCTCTCCATGCCCATCTCATCAAGTCCGGCTCCTCTTCCTGCATTTATCTCTCCAACAGCGTTGTTAACTTCTACGCCAAGTGCAGCCTGCTGCGAGAGGCGCATCTCGCCTTCGACGATATCCACCACAAAGATACTGTCTCATGGAACTGCCTCATCAATGGGTACTCTCAATTGGGTCGCCGGGACTCCTCGTTGGCTGTGCTCAGCCTCCTGAAGCAAATGAGGCAGCAGGGTACTGTTCCCAATTCCCATACTTTTGCGGGTGTTTTCTCTGCTGCGTCGCATTTAGGGGACAAAATTGTTGGGAAACAAGCCCATTGCTTGGCGGTCAAGTTGAGGGCTTTTGATGATGTGTTTGTGGGTAGCTCTTTGATGAATATGTACTGTAAGGCTGGCGATATTGGCGACGCTCATATGGTGTTTGTAGAAATGCCTGAGAGAAATTCGGTGTCTTGGGCTACGATGATATCTGGGTACGCTTCACAAAGGCTTGCTAAGGAAGCTTTGGGTCTTTTTAGGATGATGCTGGTGGAAGGTGAGGATGGGGTGAATGAGTTTGCGTTGACTAGTGTTCTTAGCGCTTTCACATTGCCGGAATTTATTAGTGTTGGGAAGCAAATTCATTGTCTTTCGATGAAATATGGATTGTTCTCCATTGTTCCTGTTGCCAATGCTTTGGTGACTATGTATGCAAAGTGTGGTAGTTTGGATGATGCATGTCAGGCATTTGAGTCCTCAAACATTAAGGAACCTATTACATGGTCTGCTATGGTCACTGGCTATGCACAGAATGGGAATGGTGAGAGAGCTTTGAAGTTGTTTTCAGAAATGCATGTTTGCGGGGTGATGCCTAGTGAGTACACTCTTGTTGGGGTGCTTAATGCATGCAGTGATGTTGTGGCAGTCAGTGAAGGGAGACAGGTTCATGGATACCTGGTGAAATTAGGATTTGAGTCTCAGATGTATATTATGACGGCATTAGTTGATATGTATGCCAAGTGTGGTAAGATTGATGACGCTAGGAGTGGATTTGATTGTCTAGGAGAGTCGGATATTGTCTTGTGGACTTCCATGATTGCAGGCTATGTTCAAAATGGGGACAGTGAGAGTGCTATGAATATGTATTGTAGAATGAGAGGGAAGGGTATCATGCCAAATGAGTTGACAATGGCCAGTGTGTTAAAAGCTTGCTCAAGCCTTGCTGCTTTAGAGCAGGGAAAGCAGATACATGCTCATACAGTTAAATATGGATTCAGTCTCACTGTTCCCGTTGGAAGTGCTCTTGCCACCATGTATGCAAAGTGTGGAAGCCTCACTGATGGAGATCTAGTCTTCACGAGGATGCCTGACAAAGATGTCGCCTCGTGGAACTCCATGATTTCTGGTCTTTCTCAAAATGGACATGGGACAGAAGCTCTCCAAGTTTTTGAGGAGATGCGGATGGTTGGTGGAAAGCCCGATTATGTTACTTTTGTGAACATTCTGTCCGCTTGTAGCCATATGGGACTGGTAGAGAAGGGCTGGGATTACTTTAAGATGATGTCTGGTGAGTTTGGCATAGAACCTGGGGTCGAGCACGATGCTTGTATGGTTGACATACTTGGTCGTGCTGGAAAATTATATGAAGCTAAAGAATTTATTTTGTCTGCAACAATTGACCATGGCCTATGCTTGTGGCGTATATTATTAAGTGCTTGCAGGAACTATCGAAACTACGAGTTGGGAGCCTATGCCGGAGAGAAATTAATGGAGTTGGGCTCATTGGAATCATCCGCTTATGTGTTGCTGTCCAGTATTTATTCAGCTCTTGGTAGAGTGCAGGATGTCGAACGGGTCAGACATTTGATGAGTCTCCGTTGTGTAACCAAGGAGCCGGGGTGCAGTTGGATTGAATTGAAAACTCGGTTTCATGTTTTTGTTGTTTCAGATCAGTTGCATCCACAAATTAAAGAAATACGCGAGGAGGTTCAGAAGCTAAGCAAGTTGATGAAAGATGAAGATTGTGAACTGGATTATGATCTTGTTTTGGAGGGTCTTTAAAGTTAATAACATCAAGAATATATCTGGTAGCATGAGACTCACATTTTTTTAACGTTATTGTTGAACATGCTTCTTTCTAGCCATTTTCTGTCATAGCCTGTTGTACAAAGCATTGGCCAATTTCCATACACATTATGAAATATAATTATTTCCAGGCTATATATTCATAATTATTAAACTCTAATTCATAATTTTTGAACTTCATATTCATAATATTAAACTCTATATACACAATTACAGAACTCTATGTTCATAATGACTGAATTATATTTTCATAATTATAAAGTTATATATTCATAATTTTTGAACTTCATATTCACAATTATTGAATCTCTATATTTAAAATTATAGAACTATATGTTCATAATTATGTTCACAGCTCTATGTTCATAATTATAGAACTATATGTTCATAATTTTTGAACTATATATTCATAATTATAAACAGTTTTAAAACAGTGTTCATTTTGCAAGGTGGACATGGTTCCACAACATAATTTGCCCACTTTTCCGGCAATTTATATCCTACACCACGGCGTACATTGCACTATGCGCCCAGATGCAAAACGACGTCGTTTTACTTATTTTTTTTTTTGAAATTTCCCGCCCCAGTGAATGGTAGTAGGCTTTTCTTTAAAAAAAAATCCGCTGTTCAAGAATGTACATAATGTTATACTTGAATACACATAATGTTATAACAAAATATACATACTCTTTTTAAAAGATAATACACATAATCTAACATAATACATAATAAACATAAACTTTTAACATAATACACATCAACTCTTAACATAATACACACAAATTTTCTGATTCGGATGTACATAATTGTATAAAAACAATGTACATAATTGTATAAAAAATACACATAACTGTATGAACCAATACACATAACGTTGTGAACGAATACACATAATCTCAGCAACTTCCTACCGCGCCTCCCAACACGACCCCAAAACGACGTCGTTTTGGGAGGCGCGCGGCGCACAGTGCTATGTGCGCCGTGGTGTAGGATATAACGATTGCACTTTTCCATTATAGGCTGAATATATTAAGCCCAATATGACTTATAGTCCAATAAACTAAGAAAATCAAACCTAATCGTTCCACGGCCCGAGTCGCATTATTAATTTCAGCCTGCTATAAAACGAAAAACTAAAACTAGGGTTTCAGAGAAAGAGGACGAGAGCATCAGTTGCAGGAACACGAAGCAGAGCAGCAGCGATGGGTGCGTAACCTTCGAGCTTTGTTGACTGTAGTTTCACTTTTTTGTTCCGATTCCTAAGGTTTGGTTTGTTGTTGTGATCTGAGTTTTTCGTTTTTTTTTCTTTTTGTGCTGAAAAAATGCAGCGAGAATCAAGGTTCACGAGCTGAGGAACAAAAACAAGTCGGAGCTGCTTGCTCAGTTGAAGGATCTCAAGGCGGAGCTTGCCCTCCTCCGTGTCGCTAAGGTCACCGGAGGTGCTCCTAACAAGCTCTCCAAAATGTATGCTCTTAATTCTATCTCTGTATATTGTACACATGTTATATCTGTATTCTCATTGATATACACACACACAATTATCTGTGGACGCTCTAAATAAGATCGTTGATTGTATAGATGGAATGATGAATGTATCAACTTACTGTAACTTTGAGTAATGACCACTTGATCATTGACCAATCTAAGGAGTCATAGCATAAATATTTCCTGCATTGTAAATTTTATTTATTTTAGTCTGTTGTGTCTGTGCCTAATAGCTTATATGATATTCTTTGACATGCAATGTTTCAAGTTATAATCTTCTTGAATACTTGGATTCTTAATGTACAGCCTCTATTGGGCTAAGTTAACGGTAGGAAAATAGAAGGCTAAGTTAGTACCATAAATTCTGAGTTCCGTGTTCTGAACTTTTTTTTCTAGTTCATGTTCAGACTTCTGAGCATTATCTTCCATTTGTGGAAGCTTGTAATCCTGTTTTCTATCAGTACTCTCCAAGGATAGGGGGTTGTATATGTGGTAGTGTCATGATTAATGCCTTTCCTGGAAAGAGCTATATTTGTTATGTGATGTATTTAGTTTCTCGGTGATGTTCTATGTTGTGGGTTTCATTTATTTTTTTTTAATTGGTTGCAGCAAGGTGGTAAGGCTGTCAATTGCACAGGTTTTGACTGTGATCTCACAGAAGCAGAAGGCTGTGCTAAGGGAAGCATACAAGAACAAGAAGTACTTGCCCCTTGACCTCCGCCCCAAGAAGACCAGAGCTATTCGCCGGCGTCTAACTAAGCACCAGGTACTTTTCACCTGTTATTCTTACACTCTTGTTTGGCAAATGTTTGTTTGTTGATTGGTGATGAGTGTGTCTGGTTTAGGCTTGTGCCAGGGAATCTTTTCCAGTTGAAACAAGCTGACATTTGGATATTCTGTTTATTTTTACTGAAGGAGGAAGTTATATTTGCAACTGAGAGTTTAAATGCTTTGATCATTTCCTTTGGTACAGGCCTCTTTGAAGACTGAGAGAGAAAAGAAGAAGGAGATGTACTTCCCATTGCGAAAGTATGCTATTAAAGTGTAGGATACAACCTACTAGGATTCCATGTCTCTTCTCAATATTAAAATTTTCAGGTAGATCTGAGTTTTATCAGTTTGTTTTGTTGGGTTTGATGAGGAAAATGTTGACCTTTAGCTTGTTGTTTTTAACTTCTATGCACTGCAATCTTCAGTACATTTTATTATTGGATCATACGAAAATGCATCAACCTTTCATTATTTGAGAGCCCTTGAGCCTTATTATTATGTAGTTTTGTCTATAATCTAAGTCAGATATATATATATATATATATATATATATATATATATATATTGACTTTTTAATTATGTATATATACTGCTTTCTGCCATTCTGAGAAATAGGAAGAGAGTCATAGATGTGCTAAATAGTGAAACCAAGTTAGTATGTCTTAGGTTCAATACCTCTTATTGGAGTCCACTTGCTTTGTGTCTAGAAGCAATCATCTCTCACTAATGTTGGAGTGTTAATTCAGCCCATCTTCTTACGGGGCATTATTTTAGGGCAAAACGACGTCGTTTTGACCATAAGAAATTCTGTTTCCCGTTTCTACTGTTATATTTTAAAAAAAGAATGCACCCTGGCCACACAACGGTCCATCCTCTACAGCTGTTAAGAATTTATATATATGCCTGTAGTATATAATGAGTATCAAGTAATAATTAATTACATAATGGATTATATCCTATATATTGTTCTTTCATGTACATCATTTTTTCTTAAATACTATCAATGCATGTTTTTGATACAAATATAGAGGCAATTGCATAAACCTTAATAAACAATAATGTGCTTCCGTTTCTAAAGTAATGAGCTATATTACCACAACGCAATTATGTTAATTCTAAAATATCGACCGTCTATTTTTTTTTTACATCATGTCAAGGAAAAAATCTGTCGTCAAAGGATTGCTTGAGTTTTAATTAGGGTTGGCTTTAAATTAAGCATAACAAGATATAAGTTTTGAGTCAGAATTTTGTAATTTATTGTGTGTTTTATAAGATATTTTCGTGTAAATTCAACCATTGAAGTATGCAAAAATATTATAACATGGTTCATATGTTTTGACACTATGTTGTATACAATGTAAGATCGATGCTTTGAAAGCATACAAGGCTTACGATCAAATTTGATTGTAGAAACATACAAAATGTTGTGACATAATGCATATTTTTTTTATACCGCAATGTAGGTATTGTCATATATATATATATATATATATATATATATTTGTAAACTTTATAACTCTAGTTGAGTCTAACTTTTCAATAGAAATTTCCGAACTATCTTATTATTATTATTATCCAACCAGGAACTACCTTCTAACTTCTTCCTAACTGTCTTCGTCTCATGACTTGTTCTGTTGAATTCGTACACAACTCCGAATAATTCGGATTCTATCCTGTCCCCTAAGTTTACTACATACCATTATAATAAGTCATATTTTTAGGTGCGAGAAAGAGGTGTGCACTAAATTATATTCAGAAACTTTATGTGACAAGTTTGATTAAGAAATGTTGGTAAGAATCGAACATAACATGACATTCAGACACGCGAATTATGCATCACCCACTAAATTAAAGTGATATGCACATTTATCATTTTGTCAATAGTTATTATGAGTAACTTTAGTATTAGCTATTCTTAAAATTTTAGGAATGATCTTTTCTTTATAATATACACGTATTTTTTTTATTTGTATATATAATTGATGGTTTTATAAGACCGGATGTCCGGATCCATAAAAAAATTAGATAGGAATAGAGATAGACGGAGGAAAAACAAGAATAATATTAATTGAATGCTAGTCCGGACAATATTCACAACTAGGGTGCAAGTAAATAATAATAATAATAATAATAATAATAATAATAATAATAATAATAATAATAATAATAATAATAATAATAATAATAATAATTATAATTATTATTATTATTATTATTATTATTATTATTATTATTATTATTATTATAAGCTGACCTAAAAGGGTCCAAGCCCAAAACAGATTAGGCCTTGATTTGTTGCCATCCCATGTCGCCACATGTCATTGTCCAACTCTCCTTTATTAATAAATATTACGGAGTATTTACTAGCTAGTCGTCACTGACCATTTATATCATGGATCAATATTTACATAACATTATGGATCCTGGATGGAATTGAAACAAGTTACATACTGAAGTTATGAGTTATGACTCCATATCGAGCTGAGTCTATCCATTTTTCTAGTTGTTTGGACAACTAAAGAAAGTAGTAGACAATGACTTCACGGTCTCACATCTCGGCCTCTGCACTCACCAACCTAAAATTTTCCTATTACTCATAACCGTTCTTGAGAATAAAGTTATAATATCTCAATATCATCACCTCTCTAATTACTCCGATTCATTCTCACCAATCTCCAAAATGAATGTAATATGTGCCAATGTGTGTGTACGTGTATATATATGTGTGTGTTTGACCGCATACTTAGAAGCATAATTTACTCCATACAAACTCTTAATTAATAGCTATGAGTTCAATCCCCTCTAATAAAAAAAAAAAAAAAAAAAATACTATACGAGACGTTTTTGTTGACCCACTACAATTTTTCCTTTTATTCAACCCCCAAGTCCCTACCTATCCTGTATGATCTAAATTTCTAAACATCTCAAAGCTTCTTATATTTCCAAGGATAGATACAATTGTAGGAGGTGTGGCAGGACATAGAACTTATCGATTTAGTGGTTGTTAGTATACGAAGCATCTAAACCCCCCCCCCCCCAACCCACCCCTCTTCCACTTTCATCATCATATCAAATTAAAGCAACCGTATATTTAGGTAAGCCATGAAGAAGGAAAATGCCAAAAATGGATATTTGTTGAAAAAAAAAAAACGAAAAGAAAGGTGGAAGGAGATGAAGATCGAAGGAATTGAAGTTACAATAATTATATACAGTAGGGAGGTGGGCAGATGGCAAATTAAAGCTGCATGCCAGCTTTAACAATATATAATAATTAAAATTCATGTGAAAAGATTAATACTTAATTACCTATTACCTATATCTTAATATAGTTATTTTATCAGTCAATTTAAGAAAATTTAATTTAAAAATATATATAAAAGCAAAAATTTAAACCTATAACTTTAAAATTGACACTTAATATTGCTTTCATCTAACTATCGAAACCCTACATACATATAGAAAATTATAGCTAGTAGTGAATATGTAAATTTATTTCCTTATACTTCTATAGTAGTTAGCGTTACATTTTGATTGCAAAATGCTGGGCTTAATTGACTCTCAAAGCGGCTGCCCAATGGGCACTAATCCAATGATAGTCTAACATGGTTTTTCTTTGGAAAATACTATATATGTGTACTCTCATTTTCTACTTACAAACTTTTACTCCCTTACACAAAATTTTGATGTAGACATTTATATTGAAACCCGCATGAAAAAGTAGCTTACCAGTATCGGCCACATCAGAGCGTAAAATTTAGAAAGTAAAATTTATGAGTACATGTAGTATAACTCTTTTTCTTTTTCTTTGTATAAATAAAGATTTAAAATATTATATATATATATATATATATATATATATATATATATATATATATATATATATATATATATATATAGGGAAGGGTTCAAGTGCGGGTATAGATTCCCGTGCGGTTGTGCGGTTAGATCTGAGCCGTTGATCAAATTTAAATTAACGGCTCAAATCAATGAAAATATAAAAAAAAAAAAAACGCACCCTTGTCTGGAAGAAAGAAGCATAAGCTAAAAATAGCACACCTTAAGTGATAGAAACACGCACCTTAAGTGTTAGATCTTAAGCACAAATCACGCACATTAAGTACAAAACCTACATACATTAAGCACAACCTCACGCACATTAAGCACAAAACCCACACACTTTAAATATTAACTCACAGACTTTAAGTTTCAACAACTACTGACATTAAGCACAAACTCACGCACATTAAGTACAAAACCCACGCACATTAAGCACAACCTCACGCACATTAAGCACAAAACCCACGCACTTTAAGTATTAACTCACAAACCTTAAGTTCCAACAACTATTGACATTAATCACTAAGAACAAATCTCACGCACCTTAAGCACAAAAGTCCACACTTTAAGTTTTAACAACTACTCACGTTAAGCACAACCCCACGCACATTAAGCACAAAACTCACGCACCTTACGCACAAAACTCACGCACATTAATCACAGATCCGCTCACCTTAATTTTGACCTAGATGCAAAAATTATAAAATTACCACCGCGTTTTTTTTTTTTTTTTTTTAATAAATTTTGGCAATTCTGGACGTTAATTTAAGCGAGATGAATGGCCCAGATTAAACCACACATATGCACTCTAACCACACCAGAACCTAATTCTATATATATATATATGCGCGAAAATTCAAACTTATCATCATTATTTTTTTTTTTCATATTTTATATAGTTAACTTAATATATTAAGAGTCCCTATTTTTACTTTCTAGGATTATAAAACAATAGAACTGTTATGTCTATATATAGAAAGACAAAACCTCGGGTAGGAATCAAGAATTGAATCTTCATATATTGTTCAAAGTCCAATTCCATTCTCCATTTTGTTAAGTACCTAGCTTTAATTCTTGTGAACAGTGGTGCTAGACAAAGTTAGCATGCATGGATTCTTCTATGATGAATATTACTATGTATTATTTGTTTCTTGTTTTGTACCTCGTCTTTATCCTCTGCAAATTCATCCAACGATGGAGAAACCATGGCTGCTACATACTCCACTATGAATGCTTCAAGCCCTCCGACGACCGGAAGATTGACAGCCACATCTCCGGCAACATCGCCCAGCGGAACAAGAACCTCGGACCCGAAGAGTACAGGTAATTGAAGCATGTACTCCATTTCAATTAAACGTCTAAGCTGCTAATTGAATTTTTATGTTTATATATTACATTATATACATGTGGACATTTATGTTTTATATATGAGAAAATTACACTTTTCATTCCTAAGTTATACAATAATTGTAGAATTCGTTCCTAATTGTTAGTCATGTTAATTTTTTCGCCCATAATAAGCCATCATTGACATTGCACTTTTCGTTATTTTATTAACTTTTCATGCTCACTTTTCATTCCTAAGTTATACTAACGTGTCAAATTACGTCCTTAATGTTTTGTTAGTAAAGGGACGAAAAGAGTAACGCCAATGATAGCTTATGGACGAAAAGCGAACACGACAAACAATTATGAACAAAATTTACAACTATAGTATAATTTAAGGACAAAAAGTGTAATATTTCCTTTAAAATATTATATGCTTAATAAGTCCCTTGTGCGAGTCTATTATTTTATTAAAGAAAAATTGTAATTTATGCCCTCTTCATACTATGTTAATTATCAATGCCACCTTTGAATTATTAATGATGTAAATGTTAACCTTCAATTTTCAAAACGGTTCATATAGTGTTCTCATGTAATGTAAATGTTGCCCTTATTTTTCAAAATGGTACATATATTGTCCTCCGTACGGTACAAGAGGAGCAATATATGTACCATTTTGAAAATTGAGAGGCAACATTTACACCACTAATAATTCAAGTGTGACATTGATAATTGACATATTATGAAGGGAGCATAAATTACAATTTTTCCTTTTATTAATGAGCACTAAGTTCTTATAGCAAATTGAAATATATGTTTCATCTAAATGAAAAAGGCTAAACTGATAATTGGCGTTTATATATTATTTATTACTCAACCCAGGTTCCTGTTGCGCGCCGTGGTAAACTCCGGCATTGGGGAAGAAACCTACGCCCCTCGGAACGTTCTAGAAGGCCGGGAGGATAGTGGGACCCTCGCCGACGGGATCGAGGAGATGGAGGAGTGTTTCTTCGACACATTGGAGAAGCTGTTCGTAAAGTCCGGGGTGTCGCCGGCGGAGATTGACGTCCTCGTCGTGAACGTTTCAATGCTGTCGCCGGCGCCGTCTTTGTGCTCGAGAATCGTGCGACGTTTCGCGATGAGGGAGGATGTCAGGGCGTTTAACTTGTCCGGAATGGGGTGTAGCGCCAGCCTGATTTCCGTCAACCTAGTGGAGAACATGTTCAGGTGTCGCCGGAACATGTTCGCCATTGTTGTCACCTCGGAATCCATCGCGCCGTTCTGGTATTCCGGGAACGACAAGTCGATGATGCTCGCGAATTGTCTGTTCCGCAGTGGAGGTTGTTCGATTCTATTAACGAACCGCGACAATCTGAGCTCTAAATCGATCATGAAACTCAAATGTTCAGAGAGAACACACCTGGGAGCAAACGACGAAGCGTTCACCTGTTGCATGCAGAAGGAAGACGACAATGGCCGCCTAGGGTTCTATCTAAGCAAGACCCTCCCCAGGGCCGCCTCGCGAGCATTCGCAGAGAATTTAAAAAACCTAGCTCCGAGAATATTGCCATTCAGGCAAATTGTCGAACACCTTGCGCGCACTTGTTTCCACACGCTCTTAACAAAAACCAGCATATTCAAGAAAGCTATGGAAGGAAGGGTGATCAACTTCAAGAGTGGGGTTGACCATTTCTGCCTGCACCCTGGTGGGTCAGCTCTGATTGAAGGGATAAAGAAGAATCTTGGGTTGAATGAGTATGATGTTGAGCCATCAAAGATGACACTTTCAAGATTTGGCAACACTTCCGCCAGCAGCATTTGGTATGTTCTAGGGTACATGGAGGCCAAGAAGAGGCTCAAGAAAGGTGATAGGGTTTTGATGGTTAGCCTTGGAGCTGGTTTCAAATGCAATAGTTGCCTTTGGGAAGTGATGAGGGATTTGGGGATTGATAATAATGACACCATTTGGAAAGGCTTCATTGATGATTACCCTCCAAGGGGCAACACTATCAACCCTTACTTGAAGAACCTTGGTTGGCTTTGCCAAGAGAATCCACCACAATTCAAATCAATCAAGTAGATTTTTGAAAAAAGTTTAAGTTCGGATTTGTATCGAGTACAATCGAAAAAGTCGTGGGTAATACTCGATGCAACCATATATGTATTTGCAGAAGTCTAAGGTCAGGATCAACATCAGGTATAATTTAAAAAAAAATATATATATTGGCGAGTACTTGGTGGGATCAAACATGTATTTTGGACTGTAGTAACTCGGTGCAATGCACCTTAGAATTTTCATTAAAGTTACCAGATAAGATTCAGTCGTCATAGTTTACTAATTTAATTCTGAATCAATATTACTACTTTTCATTTATAATAATGTAAATTTTCGGTCAATCATACGTGTAATTTTCTTGTATTGAAAAACTACAACTTGCATATGCACATGCAACATAATATATTTGTGTGTTTTCTTGGTTGCTTTTCCAATTTAAGATAAGCCACCACATAATAAATAATTTAATGTGACACAAAATTTTAATGAACAATACTTTCATAGTGTTGAGAAGCAAGTGGATGATGATGACTTTGAGTGGACCTTAAACTTGTTTTTTTGTTCCTTGACAAATGATTAGGAATTTAGGATTTCATTTAAAAATAATATTGGCAGTTATACTATCATGTATGATATTTTCAACTTATCATATTATTTAAGATATTTAGAATGTGTTAGTTTGGTTTGAACATTAGAATCCAAATAGTAATGAAAATTAAATACTTTTTTTTGATCTATATCTTCAATTTTTGAAAATTTAAAAAGTCTTATGTCAAATTTTGATCAATGAACCTACAAAATTTTTCAAATTGTATCTGATTAAATACGACTATTGTAGTCATCTTCTCCCCTCCCCCCTCCATCTCTAAACATTTTTTTTTTGAATTTCCCATTTATCTAATACAGTATACTATGAATCTATGATCCACGATATAATTTGCAAGTTTAATTCATGAGCCAGATTTATTATGGCCATGTTTAGCATGTCTAGCTGAAAGCTGAAATTAGTAGTTAATAAGCTAACTAATTGAAATAAAGTGTTTGATAAAATTAATTGATAAGTGTACAAAAATATGAAAAGATAAACTAAGATATTAGGATTTTGATTAATAAAGGGTAAATGGTGTCATTTTAATTTGTAAATTAATAAAAATACTTAAAAAGTTGAGATAATATTTCAAAATAAATTATTATTTTAAATTCCTCATATTTTACCAACACATAATTTATAATTTATTTGTAACTTAAAATGAGTTATAAACTCTAAAATATGTTCTTCCATCACAAAAAATTTGGAAAATAAGTCACGTGTCTCTTGTTCTGAGCTTATATATCACTGAAGTTTGTGAGAATTTTCAACGAATTTTATTTTTCAACAGAAATTAATTGTACAATTTGACGTTAATATACCTTTTATTTTATTAAAAATTATAAAAGAAAATATATCTTAAAAAGTTGGATGACTTTTAGGTTGAAGTCGTTGGATTTTATTTTCTCATCATTTAATATATGATGTAAACGTGAGACAACTCAAACATATTATGATGTTAATGTAAGACAATTCAAACATTAATCATTGTAAGAAATATAAGTGAAGAAAATGTTGGGAAAATTGTTTGATAAGATCAAAGAAAGTGAGGTGGGAAAGTGATATATATAGAAAATAACAGGGAAAAAGATTAAATGAATGAAATCAATCAAATTTGTAAAATATTTTAACAATTAACTGATTCAACATTATAATATCCGAATTAATTGAACCACACTTATTTTCAATTAATAGATTAATTAAATGAAATATTTTAGTTAAATTTTTTGAATGTATTTTAGTTAAATTTAATTATTCATAAAATTTATAAATGAAAAAAAGAAAAATGGTCAAAGAGGTCACCAACTATACACCAAAATGCAATTAAACTCTCAAATTAAACTAAAAAAGAAAAAGAAGTTACAATTGCACCCTTAAACTTATTATAATAATAAAATTAATCCATTTTGACCTATAAATCTATAATAGTCTGTTACCACTTACTAAGTCACCCCTCACTTAGGATGCCACATAAGTTATATTTTCTTTAAAATTATTTTTTAAAAAATTGCAATTATGGATAAATTAAAAATGTAAAATGTATTTTTCAAAAAAAAAAATGTAAAATGTAAGTTAATTGTTATTATTAATTTTTTTTTGTCAATATAAATTTTAAATAATTTTAAATTTTAATTCGTTTGAATCTTTATTTTATTTTATTTTTGTTTTTATTTTTTGAAAAAAGTTAACTACCGCTCTCATTCTAAGTTGATCTTTAATTAAAATTTGCAAAATAGTACCAAAGTTGTTAAATAGTAAGCTAAGTAAAGCAGATATACAATACTTTCATGAGAGATTAAGAGCTTGAATCTAGTTAGAGTTTTAGTTATTATTTATTTTGCAAAGCTTAAGATTACTTTAATTATTATTTTTTAAATTAATGATACATCATATTATGTTAACATGATAGTGATAACATCAATGCCAAATAAGCAAAATTAACTATCAATTTTAACAATGTTAATAATTACTCTTAATTTTCCATTTTTAAAAGCACATAAACTAAATTGTACAAATTGAGGTACATGTATTAAATTGCACAAAACCATTTAGAAACATTTAATTGGAAAAAAAAAAAATAATGAACACCCAAACTCTAGAAAAAGTTCAATTAGCACTTTAAGCATATTAATTTAGTTTAACCAATTGAGTTAGCGTCCAAGTAGGTTCGAGCTTATGTATGTGGTGATATTTTTACTAACTTTATATAATTATATAATTTTTTTAAAAAAATTAAAAATTAGACTTTCCTCCTTGTCCATCGATGTAATGGATAAGAATCAAGGCCCTCACCCAATCAATAGATATGAAGTTGTTATACCATGGACCATGATCCTAAACGACGTATAAATTGTATATTTTTAGTATTAGAATTGTGAACTCCTAGAATATAAATTTGTGTTTCTAAGTTAAAACACGTGAAATTTGTGAATACAATATAAAATTATCAAATTCTAATATGTTAATTATATTGTGTTACTGCAGTATTTGAAAGGAATTTGTAAATATAGAACAAGGTAATCAAATTACATATATGTTAACATTGTGTGTTCATGATATATAATTGCAAACTGTTAAAAGATAATTGTGAACATTTAGTATGTAAATTGTGAACACTTAGATCCGAATCCACCTTACAATGTGGATCCAGGTTCACAGAATAATTTGCCATAGATATGAGGGCATGTCTAAGTTGCCCTCGTTTTAGATTTGGGGCAAAGACACTAATTGTCAATTTGTCATTATCGTTCAATTTGTCATTATCGAAGATAGTAGTTTCTCTCATCCCCCATGGACAAGTATTATTCTAATCAATGAATTTTTTTTTAAATATTTATAAAATTATATAAAGCTAACAAATAAAAAAATTCGTAAAATTGGGTTATAATTTATTGTTGGACACTAACTCAACGGGTTAAGTAAAGGTAACCTACTAGAGTTTATTTGTCTTTTATAGTTTTATTGTTTTTTCTATATCATATATATTTTATCAGTGAGGGATTTTATCATTGTAAGGAAATTGAGAAATTATTGCTAACTTTTACTTCTTCATATAGTAATAAAATTATATATTTATCTTTATTAACTGTCTAAGAATTAGTTGATAAATTAAAAAAAGTTGTAATAATAAAATTTTTGAGTAATAATGCACCAAAAAGATAAATATTAAGAAATAAATGGAACATAATGTTGGAAAATTAGCTTAAAAATGACATAAAATGGCATTATAAGTGGCTACCTTGTGGTACAATTATCAGTGGGGTCCACTTCCGATTTGGGTCGGGTCAAAGTGGATTCGTGTTCTTCGTAGTGAGACGAAGAGATTGATATATTGTACGCTCAAAACGGATAATGGGTGAATGAGATATTGATTCTCAAAGTAGACCCATTTGAATTGGGAAATGAAGGGAAAATGTAGGACTTTGTCCCACATTGGTTTGGAAACAAGATTTGCCCCCCTTATATACATGAGCTCATTTCAAGCTTGTAGAATTGTATAGCATAGAGGCTCTCTCGCGCGGGGGCGGGGGAGGGGGGGGGGGTGCAAATCAAAATCCAATTACAGGACATCAAAAAGGCTTGAAATTAAGCCCGAGCTCGCGTGCGCCGGCACCTGCGGGCACGAATGTCGTCCGGAAATGGGCTGGCCTTGCGGGCTAAGTTATGCCTAACTTCGGTATCATTTTCCATCTGGTATAGTCACTTGGTTCGGCCAGAACCGGACCGAGAGCACAACTCTCGTGCATCTGTGACCACGAGAGTAGTGCACTCTCGGGTTGCACCACAGGGCACACGAGAGATGTACTCTCGTGTTGACTGGTCCGTGTGCTCTCGTGTGAACCTGCAACCCAACGGTCTGAAACCCGAAAGTGCAAAAGATTAAACTCATCTGTTACGGAATTAATACTGTTTTAATTCCAATTTTTAAATTCTGAGTTTAATCCTACTTAGTGGTGACCGTTACAGGTGTTACACAATTGGTTTTAACACCAATTTAATGGTCATGTTGAATGCTATCCCTTCCAACGAGCCCTATATAAAGAAGAGGTTGGGCAGAAGCATTTTACACACACAGTGAGAAAAACGAAGGAATTCTAGTATAGTTTTCAGCTTCAAAACTTCTGCTTCTACTCTCTTCTTTCCCCAACTGTGTTCCAGCTTTGTTTTGTTCGCCGGGCTCTTTGTTTAGGTGCTTAAACAAAGAGTCGTAGCACGTTTTATCCTGGGAAACCTAGGCTACAACGCTCCTAGCACTTGTGGGAGGTAGCAAATAAGGTTTTAAGGAAAAGAACCTTGTGTTCGAACTCGTGCTAAAGCCTTACCCCAAACACTCAACCTTTTCCTTCCTAGTTTCTGTTTTCCCATATAATATTAATCTTTCCGTAGGATTATTATTATTTTGGGATTTTACAACCATATTACCCAACAATCTTAAAACCTTATTTCCGTTTCCCGTTGGTTGTTTATCTCTAATTTCCTAGAAGAAATGGAGAATCCAGTTTTGCC